TCGATGATGATGAAGCCACACTGCAGGGTCTGGAAGCATGCGATACGACCATTATTAATGATAGCCTATTAACGTACAGTTGATTGTGTGTTCCGACACCTTATTGCGTTACATTACTAGTTATCTCACTATAGGCTACTGCTTGAAGCTCTGTTCCATTACCGACATGACAGCGCTACGTATTTCTCAAGAACTTATATTCATCAAGACTGTTTAGATTTCGGAGTTCTTCCTACTATGCCATATATTGTTCACAAACCTCACAGCGCATAGCTAACATTATAATTACAACTTTCACTAATTTGTATAGAGGGGAATAGATCATTTTACACCGAGTTACCTCTGGTTTTATGAACAATTTAAGAAAATGATTCAGGGACTACTGATGCATTTGTGATGCAAAAACGATATTTTCATTAATATTTACACTAATCACTGGACCCATTCAAAAAATTGTTGGAAGGACTTTCAGATCTGCTAGACACTGATAACTGCTTAAACCCGTGAAGACCAGGGGCTCCTTTCACGAAGCAACCTTTACTGAAGTTAACCTTAACTCCCATTCTTTAACATTGCACTAAGGTTACCTTAGTGACTTACAATCACCTTAGTGCTGTGTGAAAGGAGGCCCAGGTCTTTATCATGCTTGTTAAGAGACGACTAACGGACCAGGTGTTCAAGCTCGCTGACTTGCTTAATGCATGCTATTGTAACCCAATTTCGTAGATCGAAGGCAAGGATGTCAATCACTGGATTGTCTGTTCCAGGATCAAATATTCGCTCACCACCGTCATACACCTGGACTATTCCTGAGTGGTATGTTACAAAACAAACAAACAAAACGTCGTTGCCACCCACAAGATCGCTTTGTAACACGAGCACTAGGAATTTGCTTTTGAATTAGATTTTCGCGCAAATATCTGGAATTATCAGTATTTGAATGTGATTCATAAACACACGCCCGGATATAGTGAAATTGTACAATCGCCTCTGCTGTCAGCAGGGAAGTCCTATTGATGGCTGTATATGTTGTGGAGACACATTGACGGATCCTATAACAAACACACATCTTATGTGCTCTAAATGAACAAGGTTTGATGAATTCTCCGGTAATGTGAACTAGTTGCCCACCCGACTCGTACTGAAACCACTGCCATCAGTACTGAAACAAGACTCGCTATATAACGACTTCATGATCAGCAGAAGGTACCATTAACCTAATGCAACCGAGGGGACAATCATATGGGGTTCATGCTGACAGTAAACATGATCGTATTGCTCCGGATTCCATCTTCAGGGTATACATGTTGAATTAAGGTATTGATATTCCACCCTTTCAGAAATACAAACATTTATGGACTATCAAGATTCACTATTTACGTTTATATTCATATTACTCTCAAGTTTTAAAAAACTCGATTTGTGATATTCTAGTCGTTATACTGTCCTTCGCTGGCGGGTTTTTAAATACATATACATATGTTTATTCTTAGTACATAACTTTTTGTCGTCACAATATGGCTGAAATATTGCCGATGTGACGTTAAATATCAACTCTCACTAAAGTTAAAAAAATGAAAGCCCGATAAAGGAAAGGATCGTAAGGTACCCAGCTGTATGACAACACGGATGATTTTCCAGTCGTGCATTCCCCCTTCATGTGGAGCGATCTAACACCAGCTCGAGCCTATGGTGTGTACATATCACACCGTCTGAGGTATCACCGAACACACGTCCCACGTTTCCTGCCGGATTTACAGTGAGGTCCCGTAACGTCGAGCGGTAAACCACACCGCCATATAGCTGGAATATTGCTGAGAGCGGCGTTAAACAACAACACCCAACGTTAAACCACCAGCATCCTGCTTATAGTGTCTTCAGTTCCCATGTGTATAAGTAGCTATAGTAGAGCATGTTAAGGTAATCCATATTTCTTGGAAAGACATTACTTGCTTACTACTAAGGTTTTCCTTCCAGGCTTCGCCATGAAAGGCATGGTCAAGCTAATCAATGAATTTTATGACAGACCTTCAGAGGCATTTGCTAAATATTATAGAAGACTTCTTACCAAGATGCGCTGCTATTCCATAGTAAGACTTTCAAGTCATTTTTGAAACCTTCTTATACACTGGCACTTTCTTTTTATAGCTCTGGTGGTGATAAGTGGTGTTAATCGCCCTGTCACAAAATTGTTGATCGTTGCTCGTGATACTGATCGCTGTATCATCTTGTCCAGATTCAGTAGCCGACGAACGACCGACGTCGAGTGACTTACGTTAGGCAACATATGTTTATATTAATCTATCTTATTTGTGAGTAGCGGGTGATTCCAGTGGCGTGTTCATTTTACTATATTCGCGACCACCTTATGATTTCACTGCCTAGTCATATAACTGCCCTAACTATTTATCCTAATAGAATATATCTATTCATCAGATACACAAGATTCCCTGGCGTTGATGCGTTGACGTTTACTGTGTGTGTTGACGTAAAACGTATCCCTAGTCCCTACTCAACATAGGGAGCGGAAGATTACTAAGTGTGCGGAGAGGTAATCACAAGAGGTCTTAACGGTGATAGGAAATATAATGTTAATACGTTACATTGTATCTGCCATGATGATATATGTGTGTCTGTGGGCAATAGCAGCACATCTGTTACTTAGTTAGTAGGGTATCTGCACATCCAATGCTTTCTCTGTTGAGCGGCAAGCGGTAACCGACTTAGCATCTAAGTGGGAATCAGCGTCTACACGAATTAGCATATCTCAATATGTGTATGCAGGATATATAACCTCCTGAATGTTATATATTATTATTCCTGAAAAAGGTAATTTACAATGCATTTAAAGCGGCTGTTCCGTCCGTTATCGCCTTCATTTGTCAAGCGTCTTCCACCTTTTAAAGAGACATCTATGTACACACAGATGTGGAGGCGCCTCGCCATCACCAGGGAATACCAAGATGGGTCAGAAATTCTTGACAGCGGGTATGATGTTCATTTGAGAGATGTGTCATTTGTACCATACAATGTTCAAGCTACATTGCTCAAAATAGAATTTAATCCGAAAACGCACGGATATCCTAGATCCTAGATCATATATGGTGGATGCAGGTGAGCGAAATCCAATTGAAGCTAATACTACTTTTTTCCCCGTTTGCAAAGTTTAGGATGTACATTGTCAATCTCTTCTCCTTAAATCGAACACTTACCCATAAATAAACATGAATATGTGTTTACAACCCCACCCTACATTTAAATGTGATAACACTGTATCTTTACTAAAGCCGTTCCTCACCCCAGTCAGTGGCAATAGATCGGCGAATGTCAAAGGGCAAACCTATAAGATCAGTAAACTGTCATAATAAAAATTCAGTCAGATATGCCAAAGAGATATATAGGTCTATATGATCTCTTTACTTCGTGTAGTGTGATCATGAATATGTAAATACGCTGGATCGTATCTCCACAAGTGTCTATGCAAACAACCGTCCTCCCGAGTGTGTCATCAGCATCATGTAATGGCTAATGAAGGTTTTCTAACGTTAGTTGAGGATTTCAAGTCAGTAAAGAAAAGGCTGAACATCCCCCTGGAGATACGCTTAAGCATGATTGAAGACCTGTTATTTTCATGGGAAACTTCATTTTGTTATTTCTTCAATCTGCTGTTGCAAATGTCATTTACACAAAGTTCAGATGTTAGACTACCGCGTGGAACGATGGTGGCGTTTCGACAATTTCCCAACTAAAACAAAATTGGTCGAACTCTACTTCACTGCCGAAAAGGTTAATGGTCTTCAGTAAATATTGGAGTGAAAGTAAGAGACTGATGGAATTGCTTTGAACAGTACTGCATTAATATCACGGTCTGTCATGTTAACATGGGTGGGAAATCAGAACATGATGTACATTGTGTACATGAGTGATCGTTCGAGCATGGTACAGTGCCTAACGATAGAAACATGCACAAAGCATGTGGGGCACAGCTGGCTGAATCAAACTAAGCGTTTTGTGGGTGTAACTGACACGCGTTTACAAAACTTCATCAGCCATGATCATCTTTCCACAAAATACGTAATGATGACCAGCAACATAGAGGGTACGAGCCTCTCGTATAGAACTGCGGTACTTACATCTGTCAATGTAAGGACGGAACTCATGAACTCAAGAATCAGGGATCAAGGAAATGGATTAGTAATTGTGTTCAAAGTATTCAGTATGTGAGTACATACTTCGATAAACTGGCGTTATGCCCGCTGACCACACCCTTAGCTCCGGTAGATAGCAACAGTGCATGTGGCATCGTGTTAATATCATATGTGGACGACCAAACAGTCGATCTGTTCCTTAGGGAACTCAATATAAGATGGACATAGACAAGTGGTCAAACAGATTAATAGACATAGTAAACATATGCTTCAATTAAACAAAAACAATACGTTTTGAACTCGTAAAAAAACAGTTCAACCTGTTTGAAAATGTTCCAAGTCAAACTGCATTCGATTCCACAGAGACAGCGCCATGACGGCACTTTTCGTGGATTTTTCTGGGTTTTTCGGTTGATGATATTTTTGGTCATTTTGTTTTTGTTGATTTCGTTTTTTGCATTTGTCAAGCAACGAAAGAATCAAATCTGAACTGCTATTGGAATGTAAATATGAAGTGAAATCAGTGTGATCTATTTCGATGATATCAATAATTATTTTGGGATCTAAGTAATTTGTTTTTATAATTCATATTAGTTTGGAAGAACGTCCGCAATCGTTTTGTTGTCGTATTTATATCATTCCTATCTTAATGAAGTCAGCGAATTTGAATGACATTTATTTGTACTCGACTCAGTTCCAATTTGTTGTCGCATTTCACAGTAAAACAGACAATGAGACAAGACTACTGTGAGAAGGTTATAACTGATTAAATAGCCACACGTTTTCATCCTTACCTGCCAGCACTAATATCACTCAATTCGTCGAAGAAGCATGAATAGTGATTGTCCTTACCTGCCGATTAGATACAGGCGATAAACAAGCGTTCAGCTTCACAGGGAAACAGGTATGCCCCCTTTCGCCAGGTCAGGTACATGGTGATTGCTCTCCCTCCCAATACACGACCTCGGATGCAGCTATCCAATCAACTTGTAGAAGGATCAAATCAATGTTGAGTGACTGGGGAAATCACATGCTCTCACACTGTTCCTCCCGACGCTATCGTTGTTGAGGGAAAGTCTCGCCGCTAGAACCTGTGCCGTTGCCGTTAAGTCATGCTACTTTCAGTTCGGATATTGGAGTGGAAGTGTTGGTATTAGCCAGCCCACTCAAGGCCGAACAAGCGATTGGCAGGAGCTCCAGTGCGCTGATTGACATATTGGCTATTATTTCCACAACGAAGCAAAAATCTATTTAGTTATGATACGTATGGCATGTGAAGTCACAGAAAAGACGAAAGTTGTTGCAGAATGCTCCGAGGCTGCAAATACACCTATATTGACGATAGAGGCAACTTTCAGAGGCTACTCTCGGGCTACAGGCAGTGTTCGGGACCATTGTGAAGAGCTTAATTGACACTGTCTGAAGTTAGAACCAATGGATCAGGAACTAGAGACATGGATAGGGTTCGAAATAGATGCTGATGCAGTCTGTTTGGGCAGTTGTTAAGGGGCTAAATTTCCCGGACCTTGTAGTGAATGAAAGATGAATATGAGGGGAAGATTGAGCTGGGGCGTAGGAGAGAGGGCTGTAGGCGTTTGCACAGTGAGAACATCCATGACAGGTTAATCTTTTAGTGGTAACGTCCATGATTGGGTTATTATTTGTGGGATCATGGATGGTGGAGTCGTTAGTAATTGTGAGAGCACGGAAGATAGCATTGTAATTATTTGCGAGAGCATGGATCGTAGTGATGTTATCAATTTTGAAAGCATGGATGGTAGTGTTGTTATTTAGTGTGAAAGCATGGAAGATAGTATTGTTGTGTTGATATTTTATTGTGAGAGCGTGGGTGGGCTTGTTGTTATTTAATGTGAAAGCGTGGATGGTAGTGTTATTTATTGTGAGAGCGTGGATGGTAGTGTTGTTATTTATTGTGAGAGCGTGGATGGTAGTGTTGTTATTTATTGTGAGAACGTGGATGGTAGTGTTGTTATTTAATGGGAGAGTGTGGATGGTAGTGTTGTTATTTATTGTGAGAGCGTGGATGGTAGTGTTGTTATTTAATGGGAGAGTGTGGATGGTAGTGTTATTTATTGTGAGAGCGTGGATGGTAGTGTTGTTATTTATTGTGAGAGCGTGGATGGTGGTGTTGTTATTTATTGTGAGAGCGTGTATGGTAGTGTTATTTATTGTGAGAGCGTGGATGGTAGTGCTGTTTTTAGTGTGAGAGCATGGATGGTAGTGTTGTTATTTAATGGGAGAGCGTGGATGGTAGTGTTGTTATTTATTGTGAGAGCGTGGATGGTGGTGTTGTTATTTATTGTGAGAACGTGGATGGGTAGTGTTGTTATTTAATGGGAGAGTGTGGATGGTAGTGCTGTTTTTAGTGTGAGAGCATGGATGGTAGTGTTGTTATTTAATGGGAGAGCGTGGATGGTAGTGTTATTTATTGTGAGAGCGTGGATGGTAGTGTTGTTATTTAATGGGAGAGCGTGGATGGTAGTGTTATTTATTGTGAGAGCGTGTATGGTAGTTTCATTTACTGTTCGAGGATGGATGATGGTTATATAGCTTAGTGAGAACACGACAGTGTTGTTGTTTCGTAGGAGCGGTCGTGTGTATGTACAGTCGTGAGCGGTCAATGGATTCATGAATGAGGAGCTGGCTATCGCCTGGTAAGAGCAATGACATCAGGTTGCACATAACCGAGACCGCGGATATCGCTTTGAGGAAGTCGTCTTGAGAGGATTATCGTTTAAAGAGACCAACAATGAAATGTGATTTACAGCTTAGTGAGGACGAGACCGAGAGAGTTTTATCTTTATTGAGGAACGATGATCAGAGGGGCGCTGTCGCGTTGTGAGGGTATAGGCGTGTTACCAGGAAAACCGATCGTGGACGTGAGGGTCGTTATCCGTGGGTCTGACCAGTGATGGGGTGACTGTTACAGTATAGTGTAGCCCTGATGTGAGGGTTAATATCTCCCAGTCATGATAGTGAGAGAGTGAATGCGGAGAGTGGTGTTGGGAAGTGAAAGCGTGTATGTCGTTATCGGAAAGTATGAGTACGGATGAGTAGGTTGTTCCAGCGAAGCGGGATAGCATAATCGAGAAATCGAGAAGTGAAAGCGTGTATGTCGTTATCGGAAAGTATGAGTACGGATGAGTAGGTTGTTCCAGCGAAGCGGGATAGCATAATCGAGAAATCGAGAAGTGAAAGCGTGTATGTCGTTATCGGAAAGTATGAGTACGGATGAGTAGGTTGTTCCAGCGAAGCGGGATAGCATAATCGAGAAATCGAGAAGTGAAAGCGTTTATGTCGTTATCGGAAAGTATGAGTACGGATGAGTAGGTTGTTCCAGCGAAGCGGGATAGCATAATCGAGAAATCGAGAAGTGAAAGCGTGTATATGAGGGGACTGTTATGGTACAGTAAAGATGTGAATGACAAAGCTGTTTCAACTAAGCGGGAACGTACATGCGAGTGTTATCGCGAAGTGAGAGCGTGTATAAGACGATGATAGGGGACTGTAGTGGTGCCAGGAAATGATCGTCGTTTGTATTGTGGGTGGATGGAATCTTATGGCTATGTGTTCGAAGTAGATTCGGATGCTTTTTCAGGAGTGCTTTTCAGGGCTGGCTGAGGATTGTCATTAGGTATATATAATGTTATGTTTCTTGTGAGAACTATATTGAAGTGCAGTCTCTGGTGAGAACGACATACTCGGTGGGTGTATGCGATTCTATTATCCATCTTTTTATCAACAGCCAGACACTTAACCCAGCAGCAAGTCCAGCTGGTCACATGTCCATTCTATATTTCAGTCAAAAAAAGAACAAAAACGGAAACTACACGGTACTGTTCCCTTGTCGATAAATGTTAGCTTACAGCCAGTAAATTGATACCAGATGAGTTTGGACCAAATATTCTGGAGTGCTATTTTTACCTAAGGGCGGGTATAGCAAATATGTTATCAATATGTTTTCTCTAAATTGGTTGTTTTGTTGTTTAACGCCGTAGTCAGCAATATTCCAGACATGCGGCCGTGGTATGTAAATAACCGAGTCTGGACCAGACAATCCAGTGATCAACATCATGAGCATCGATCTACTCAACTGGGATACGATTGCATATGTCAACCAAGTCAGCGAGTCTGACCACCCGATCAGTTAGTCGCCTCTTACGACAAGCATGGGTTACGGAAGAACCACTCTAACCCGGATCTTCTCAGATATTTTGTTTAAAATCACATCATTGTCATTGTACTACGTGTACACTTGTCAGGGCTACAATTGATTATTAACATAATTGGCCACTATTAAGTCATTTCTTGGGAAGGAACAAGACACATGAGGGAGATAAGGTGTTGAAGATGTGGCTCCATGATTACTCAGTTCCATTAATAAACATGCATTTTAGGATTTAACTTATGTTGTTGTACCCATGTTAATTTGGATTTACACTCCATTCACTGTTTATGCCCTGGTTACCTATCATTAGGTTCATAAGCTGACAAAGTGCTGGTCACATCTGAAACATCTCTATTCCGATATTGAGCCCGTACACTTTTACCCACACGGGTACAATATGTGAAGCCCATACCTGGTGTCCCCCGCCGCTATATTGCTGGAATATTGCTAAAAGCGGCGTAAAACCACACTCACCCTCCCCACTCACTGTTCATACGTCTAATGGATTACCGGCAGGCACTGTTATCACATGTATAGATTTGCTACTTATGATATATCTGATGGAATAAGACTGGTGATCTCCAAGTGAGAGGTTATTTCGACCAGTCCACACTCTGATACATCACTGACAGGACAAGGTAGATGTGTAGAGACTGAGAATTGGGCGGTGATCAGTGAGCATTATCATCTTGACAGAACTGTCGATGAGACGACATTATCACGTTAGCAGTACTCTCTCAATCACTATCGCTGGGGCCGAAAGTATAGATGTGAAGGGACTCTCAATGGGCGGAAATGGGAGACCATTAGTAAAGCAGATATATCTCCCAAACGTTTTCTTATACCTCTATACAACAGTCGTATTTAATAATAACTGGATTTTTCGGTTCATCGATCACTTGATTGTCTGGATTAGTTATGCATGTTAGGGGTAGTGAATCGCGGAGTCAGGCTGAAAGTACGTCCATTTATAGAAATAACATGTGAATGGCGTGCCTGCCGAAAGCGTACCCGTTTCCCTAACACCTGGTGTCAGAGCTGATATTCAGTGATCCGTTCATATAATACTCACAGCTATCTTTGCTTGCATTTAGCACGGGACAAGGATTAGACGGGCCTGTAGCTGGCACGGGTAAAGGTTAAGGAGGGCCTGTAACTGGCACACGGGTAAGGATTAGAAGGGTCTGTAACAATATTATTTATATCCCTGTAAATAGTCAGTTCAGTCGCTAATTATCATAATGTATTAACTTGTGATTGTAGATATTCCCTTGTGAATTATTCTAATTACATCAAAGAATCTCTTCCTTTATAGAAAACAAATGTTACATCATTAGCCATTTTATTAAATTACTTTGTAAAGTTACTCCTACTCTACAAGCAAATTATACTCCTTTTGTGTGCATTGTACATGTGCCGATGGCCTACAAACCGAAATAAAATAATTGAATTGAACCCATTCCCACTGATTTACGTACTTGTGCTGGTTATAACATTGACCTTATGTACTGAGATTTGTGTATAAGGATCTGGAGTCACAAACACTCCCATCCACCTAGCTGTATCCATAACAGGGCGACTGCAGCGTTCCAACTGTCAAGCTTTCCTTGAAGTCGAGCAATATTTCAGCAGCTCAATCTTTCAAATCGTGTAACATATGTTTTATTTGGGATTATACTTTCTCAGTAAAGTACACATTCTACTACTTTTGTTGGGTGGAGTCCCATCCGGGATTCGAACCCATACCCTCAGGCACCGCGACTTCCACTAAATGGCACTGTGTATTCATAGCTTTCAAATCGTGTAGGAATAGTGAGTCTTTCCATTCTGTTATCCGGGGTGTGTATTCCCGTTCACATCAATACACATATCAGTGGCCAGGTGACGCTCGCGAACACCTGGTATCACCACTGCTTAATG